GTCAGTCTTTCACTCTCTATCTTTATCTCTCTGCTTTTTTCATCAGCCTTGCTTTCTATCTGTCTCTCTTTCTATATTTCTCTCTCATTCTATTTGTCTCTCGTTCTATCTGATTTACTCTATGTGTGTGTCTGTGTATCTCTCTTTCTCCCTCTTCCTGTCTCTCTTTCTGACTCTCTTCCTCTGGTTCGCTCTTTATCTGTCTATCCTTTTCCTTCTGTTTCTCAGTATGCTCTACATAAATGCTTCTCATTTTACTTTCCTTTTACAATATATAGATATATTTACCTGAGAATACAAATTCTTCCATTTGCTCTAAAGAAATTATATTTACTTAATATCTCTGCTCTCTCCTTCTTTCTTTTTTTTTTCTTTATTACAATAACCCAAGAGCTTTATTGTTCTCAATATATGGAGCCAATAGACAATCCTCTTGCTCTCAGCATTATTAAAAATCATTCATATTCAAAATATTCCTATTCCTTCTAAGTTAATTTCATCTCTGCCCTCAACTTTATAAATGACTTTTATTTATTTTCAAAATATTTCTTCCTTTCTAATCTCGCCCTTAATCCAATTTAGTTTGTTTTAAGAAAGTGCAGCTCTCTTGCTGGCTTCATTAAATTTTATTTGCAAATATTATCACACACTCTACTCTGCTCTCCCCCACTCTGTCTCTCTCACTCTCTCTCCACAAGTGATGCACCTCTACTGCTACCACTTTTTTCCATTTTATCCATTAGCAGTGTCTTCATTGATGCTGTGGCTGCCACAATCCGCCTGGACAACAATGGCATTGGACACGATTTCCATGCAACACACAAATGCCACACAGTCAACAGAATGTCATGTCTGCTTGCAGCTCGTTTTTAGCACTGCTTCAGTTATTCTTTACTTTATTTGCTGTTGGTTGTTGTTGCTGCTGTTGTTGTTGTTGCTGTTGGTTGTTGTTATCATTTGCAGCATTTGAAATGATTTGCAATAAAAAGTGTCTGTTGTTGGCCATTGGCCACACCCCATTGGCAAATTACGTGCTGCTGCTCCTGCTGCTCCTGCTGCTCCTGCTGCCCCCTTTGCTGTTGCTCTTGCTGCTGCTGCTGTCGTCTGTCTGTCCCTGGTTCGAGTTCCTGTCCTATCCACCATTGTCATTGTCATAGTCCTTGTCACCGTCACGTAATTTCATTGCCTTTGTTTATTTATTTTTTGTCTATATGTATTTGCTTTTATCCTTACGCGTCTGTTGCCTTGAATACAGGACCAAATAGCGCCCAAAAGTTTTCTTTTTTTCTTTTTTCTTCCTTTTTTTCTGTTGTACATGAATTTGAGCTAATCTACTTTAAAACTTTCTGTTAGATAGCTAATGGATAATTTTGATCACTCTTATCTATATCCTATCATCATATACATTGATTTAATTATTTATAGAAATATTTCGGCGTCAAATAAATTCGCATATAAAAACATATGTGTAAAAAAAAAAAAAAAAATTAATAAATTATAATACTAGAATAAAACAATTTATTATGGATAATTGTAATAAAAATATTTATACAATTTTTTATCTAATTTTTACCTTGGATAATTGTAAATTAAATCTTTATATTTTCTAATCTAATTTTAACTTATGGTAATTTACTTTAGATATTTGTAATAGAAATCTTTATATCTAATTTTGTCATCTTAAGATTCGTTGGGTTTTGAAAATTCGAAGATACATTTAGGATTTCCCTCTTTTAGCATTGTATTCTTCTCTAAAGGAACTAGTGACACATTTAGTATAAATGTATTTAAAGACATTCTCGATCCTAATAATAATGCTGGACATTTTAGTTAACGCAGGCTGTTAAGTTCATACAAATTTTAATTTAATATAAAAAAAAATTCTAAACATAATATTTTTTTCGCATTTTCCTCAATCGCCCCCTTGAAGCAGCGCCCGAAAAACCTCAAGTTAACCGAGTCCCCTCCTGCACTCGACATAAGATATGAATGCTTTGCAAAAATAAAAAGAAAATATAAAGAGAGAAAACCTTGGCAAAGAGAGCAAAGGCAATGGGAAACAAAATGCAAGAGGCAGCCGCCCAGACACAAACCCATAGATACAATCATAATTTTTCGTACTGCAATAAAAATGCGTAGCAAAAATAAAAATGCCCATAAAGCGCTGCTTGCCAATTGCTGTCCAGCTGTCCGCCTGTCCGTCCGTCTGTCCGTCCGTCTATCTGTCTGTGTGTATTGCAATTGCTGGCACACATAATTTGGCATTGCCAGCGCTATAAATTATATAGAATCTGGGCACAAGGCACAGCCAGCGCTCGAGTCTAGGGCTGACATTAAAAGGCATTGCGAGTCTGGGAAATGCTTGTATGTCATTGCAGCTACGTGATCTGTGAAGTGCAGCTGTAAATATTTTGGCTCTTTAACTCGGCTCACTTAAAGACACAAACTAGTCGACGCGTTGCACTCGCTGCGCTGCCAACTCAAGCGCAAAACTCAATGAGCTGAGCTCCGTTGCTGCTCGAGAAAAGTTTCCATCAGCAAAATATTTGATTCAAGTATTTAAAAGTTGATGCCAGATAAGCTGAAGTTGTTTTTAGCTCTGGCCTTGCCTTCCCATATGCAAACGATATTAGCTATTGATAAGGTGAAATATCCCACACACACACACACACGGACACACATTTGCCATGCAAGACAACAATTTACATATTATCAAGATTTTCGTTGGCTTGTAAACCTTTTCATTCCTTTTTTCCTCTTTTGATTTCCTTTTTTTTTGTGTTTTTGCCTGGGTCTCATTATTGCTGCCAGTTTTATTGGCATCTACAGATTTTCAGCTCAGCTACGAAATGGCCAAGAAACGGCAAACTTTTGCTGATTTCATCAGTAAGACGCATTTCGTTACCTTGATTTTTTATGGGCTCGCAGTGAATGTGTTTCTCTTTCTGGCTGTGCATTAGATGTCGAAGGACTCCGTCTCCTCCTCCTCCTCCTGCTCTGGCGAATCCTTTGCCGAGCTCTGCTTATCTGCCGCAAGGCCGACGAATTGGAATGGTTCATTTGCCTCCGCTGCTGTCCACTTTTTGAATTTGTTGTTGTTATTGCTGCTGTTGTTTTTGTTGCTGGTGGCAAACTGAAGCGATATTTGATTTTTTTATGTCTTGGCTACTTTTCTTTATTTGCTTTCAGAATTTTTACCTTAACCTCTGTCGTCACCGCCGTCGCCTTTCGCTTAAAATAACAATTTCAAATGGATTTTATTGCCTTGGGGTTAGATTTGCGCTGCTTTGGTTTTGCGCTTTATCGTTTTTGCATAAGCGCCGCCGCTTGCCAATTCCTCGGACACACACATGCGGCTTAAATCTAGCCCTTAAAGCACTCAAGTGTACTACACACACACACACACATGCGCACCTCTCTCTTTCTCACTCTCTCTCTCACTCTCTCTCTCTCTCTCTTCGCACAGCATCCAAAAACATAATCAAAACGACAGCGTTTCCAAAACTTTTCCCAGCAGACAATAATTGAAAATGCCGTGGCGGTCGCTGCGTTTGTTGGCCAACTTTGTGCTGCCATAAAATTTATGTTAATTGAAATTTATGTGCAGTCAGTGCGCGGCTGCAACAGCCGAGCGAGCCAAACAGAGCCAGACACACGTTGGCCGAATAAAAAAGAAGAGAAAATTGTATGTGTAGTGCAAACTTTGCGGCAGAGGCATCAAAACTCATTTGGCTAACGCATGTGTTGACCAAAAACTTGCGATTGCCAATTTTGGTTTTTGGCAGAAAGGGAATTCCGATCAAAGTATATATAAATATACATACATATGTATATAATGAGAGCGGATGTTTTGAATAAGATTTTCACGGCTAATTTGGTGAAGAATGAAGCCAGGAGACAGAGAGAGAGAGAGAGAGAGAGAGAGAGAGAGAGAGAGAGAGAGAGAGAGAGAGAAAGAGA